TGCTATAAACAGCCCCTGGTCAGGACGCTCGTGCAGGAGGTGGAGATTCGAAACAAAACATTTCGGCAAGCTGAACATTCCAGCTACCAGGATGTCTCACCTCCGGAGCGTGTCACACCTATCGGCAAGGGCCAGGCTGCAGGGGGAACTCTGCCGCTCTCCTCTTAGCTAAAAGTCTCGCCAGTACAAGGGGGCACAAAGGAGCCTATGCCTGGCTCACTGATCAGCAACCTGTGCCTATTCCCTCCTCCTCGAGTGTTTACTAAGATGTTGCTGAACAAAAACCAGGAAGCAGAACCTCAAATAATAACAGAAAACGAGTAAACATTGGATGTTATTTCTGCACTGCCTCAGGCTCTTACCACGGGCCAGCGCCTCGCTTCATCTGCACAGAATAAGCAAGGCAATCTTTGCATCACAGAGCTTACAAGTGGGAAAACAAGAGGCTCAGTGAGCACGGCCGGCCAGATAACGGCGACGACAAAAAGAAGAAAAAGAAAACACACAGAGCAGAGCAGCCTCAGACAGTCCCACGGCTGCTGTGTTTTACAGCACGCCCGCCACGAGGTGAAGAGTGCAGAGAAAGGCAGAGGGCAGCTGCAAAGGTCCCAGGCAGCGGCACCCGGCAGACTCACCGCGCTTCGGGCTCCAGCTGGGGCTTTGTGCTCTTGGCGGCGGCGGCGGCCTGGCCTCTCCATCGCACCGGGACTCTCACTTGGAGGCTGCCTTTCACAACTGCAGGAAAGAGAGCAAGACCTTGTTAATGCTGCACAGAGCTCAGGGCTCTGCTCCCCACACACGCGCTGGTCCCTCAGTGGTTATGCAGCACTCCGGGCCGTGCTCCACTATTTGGCATTTTCTCCTTCAAACTCCAGATGCTGGAATCAAAATATTTCATAAAATCACAAGCTTCTGACCTTCTTTAAACACAGTGCACACTAACAGCTTTTTAGGTATACTGGGAAATAACCTAAAAAGAAACAATATCCTTATTTTTCTTCCTCCAAAGCTTTACTTTCACATTCCAACCATGAGTTTATTGTGTGACAGCACAGCAGAAACTACCAAGGGCTACCAGCACTAGGGAAAGGAAATAAGTACACTGGGCTATGCAATTTATCATGGTACAAAGACACCAAAGGCAGCTCWAAACAGGCCAAGAGCATCTAGACCACTTCTCACTAGACTTCCATTTATCTGGAGTCCTCAGCAAACTGTGGGCCACATACAATCCTTACATTGAGCCCATAATGAACACTTGAASCAGCAATTCCAGAACCCACTTACCCAGGGATGTTGGGAACCTTCTTTTCTGTCACTTGAACTAAACATTTTTATTACTCCTGGACTCCAGCCTCAGCCAAAATATGGCCTAAAACCAAGAGGATGTTTTGCTTCCCACTCGCTGCTTACAGTGTGCTTTCTTGGGGCATGTTTTCTTCTTCTTTAGGAGTTCATAGTCATTAAAACGTATTTTTAAGTGCAACAATACAGTTAACTATCCAAGATGGGAAAAACAGGTGTCCAATGCTGCATATTGTGCTCCCCAGCAGCAGTTTGGTGTGATTACTTCCTTCCCTACACTGTTGGAGCTCCAGCAGCAACCCAGCCCCAATAGCACAGAAATCCACAGGGGCAATTTACTCTGCTAGGAGCATCATTTATGACTCACAGTCCTCTATTAGGAGGCTAAGCAGACGCTGAACACCCTCAAGACCTGCTGAAATCAATGAAAATGGAAAGCATCCTGAAAAGACAGCTCCTTTGCTGGCATTAGCAGCGTGTGCTTGGGGAAGCCTGTGCCTGCAGGGTTACGAAGGGCTGCAGTCTAAGGAACTTCATGCGATTTCAGCACTGCTGCTGCCTGATTCTATTCATCTTCAAACATTCAGATTCTGCTCCCAGTGTTTAAGATGATGAATATTTCAAAAAAACAGCCACAYGTGAATATCGCCCAGAGCGACTGAAGGAACCCTGCACCGTACACGGCCGCTGCCAGCGTCTSTTTTACGTAACTACAGGTGAAGTTTGTGCGTCCTTCTATCCGGACCACAAAACACAAGCGAAAGAGGCCCGGGATACGCARAGGGAGCGCTTCCCATCACGACAAAAGGGTGCTATAAGTTTCTAAATGAGCACAGCCATTCTGTCCTCCAAAGCCTAGACGCAGCACAGCTCTCCCCACGCGCGGCCGCCCGTTGCGCCCGGCCGCGGGGAGCCGCGGGCAG